GAGCTCAGAACCGAGCAGACGAAATGAAAATCATTCTTGCTCTTTAAAAGCACCTAGCATTCTGTGTTGTCTAGAGACGTGCTTCAGCCTTGGGCTGCTTCCTGAAAGGGCTCCCGGGAGCCAGAGGAAGCCGGCTGCTTTCCTAAGGAGTTCCAGCCTCAGAACCCTGCTCCACTCTGCCTCGAGGGTCGCTGTGAGGGGTGACTTGGTTCCTGTGGGGACGCCAGCGGAGTGTGGCAGTTGGTCCGCACTGTGATGAGTGAAGGAGATTCTGTCAGCTGTCCTTCCGGAGTGCAGCCCTGGCTGCTGAGAGCTCCGGGACTCGGGCCTGCAAGGACCTTGATTCCCCAGCCCCAGGTGTGCTTGCTGGCTCTGAACTGGCCTTTGTGGACAGCGTTGTCTCCTTGGTGCGAAAGAGCCGTGGTCCTGATGTGCTGCCACCATGTGAGGCGCCGTGGTCTCCATCGTGGTTTGCCTTTTCTCTCTCGTTGCTTGGGGAAAAGCCCGTGGCCAGGTCTCATGGAGGGGTCTTAGGTACTTGGTGGCTCAGATGTGTTAGTTTTGGCAGGAAGGGGAGTCAATTGAGACAGTCTGGTGAAGGTTATTCTTTGCTTCCGTTTGAACTAAACTGAAACCAGGCTCTCATACTAGAGCCTGGATTGGAAGGACAGTGCCCAGCCAATGGCCAGCCGTAAACCTCCTGTCTGCCCCCCTCAGGGCCTAGGACAGCCTGCTGCACCCAGGCTTTGAGTGATTGACACTTAGCCTCTCTCTAGGTGGGGACTCCGAATCCCCCACTGTTGGAATCACAGCCCAAGTGAGCCAGGCCTTCCCTCCTCCCAACAGGACTTCAGGCCAGGGAGAGAACTGCTTCAGGTGCAGCCACTAAGGAGATGTGAGCGGCCGAGTGTGACCCTGGAGCAGGGCCCCCTCTGGCCCTGGCCTCAGTACTGTGAACTGTCGCCCCTGGCTGAACTAGGAAGAGCCAACGGCGTTTGCCAGCCTCGTGGTGCAGAGCCTCCGTGAAGGGGTGGGGTTGGTCTTTCCCCTTCAGGTTCGGGTTGCCAGTGGATGATTGGGGTGTACATGGGGTGGGGGCGATGTACAGGTCAGAGGACCCTGGTTGCCCTTTGCCTGGAGAATTTCTTTTAAATGAAACATTTTCTGCAGCGTGTAGCCTGAGTGACTCCTGGGGGCAGTAGTCTGGGTGCGGGTCCCCGGGCTGAGGCAGCTAGAGGGTGACTGGGTTGCCAGAGATTTGAGTCCCAGACCGTGGCAGGGTGGTGGTGAGCTTACTCACACAGTGGTAGATCATTCAAGCACAGCCACGGTGAAGAAAGTGGAGGTGCCACTCCCATGGCCTCTGCTTTATGAGGGACAGGCCTGTCCTGCGAGGCTCTGGGCCTGCCAGTTCAGACTTGGCACAGGGGTGGCGCTGGGCGGAGACTCAGGAGAGGGCTCTTGGTCCTGGGGCTCCAGGGGGCAGGGAGTGAGTGCCAGATAGCACAGGCTGCAATCCCGAGCGCTCACTAAGCCCCCTCTCCTTCTTGCAGGACGTGTTCTTAATCTGCTTCTCCCTGGTGAGTCCTGCATCATTTGAAAATGTCCGGGCAAAGGTACGTGAGGGGTTATTTTTTGGTCTGTTTTTACTTACTGTCACTCGAGGTACAGAGTAGAAATTAGGCTGTGTCTCAGAGGTAGGTAGGGCTCCTCTGAAAACAGGGACAACTTTGAGTTGGTGTAGTCTAAACAAGACCAGGACTCCTTGTTGGGGTGGGTCTCCACCTACTTGGGCCGGGGATGAGGGCACAGCTCACCTGGCCGTCCATTGGCAAGCTGATGAGCCCTCTGACAAAGAATGTCCTATCCTTTGGGGGACCGTCCTTCTGCAGCCCGCCCGCTTCTCCTTTTCCTTGCCACCCTCCCTCCTGCCCTTGCCTGACCAGTCGAGCCTGTTGCCCAGGGTGGTTAACC